AATTTTCATTTAAAAGTAGAATTGCCGGAAATTGCCACTGGTTTACTACGGGTGATTTTCAAAATGTCTATGCAGGATGGGATTTAGATGCGCTTTATGGATCATGCTATCTATTTTTTCAATTAGTTCACTAAATTAATGATTCGAAAAAGGAAAACGAAAATTTATAATTTCAATTCAGAACTTAACTGGACAACTACCGTTAAATGAAGAACCTACTCTATATAATTCATTGTAAGATGGAATCAACGAGTGAATTAAAAATATCTACCTCTTACCTTGTAAATGAAGTGTTGTTTAATTCTGTTATTCGTCTTTTGATCATTTACAAACCATTTCGATGATTTTTTTAAACAACTGAAAATCTCGAATTTGAATGAAAACCTCCAGTTTATCGATCTTGGACCGAGAAATCCAACTTTAAAATTCACCTCACCTCAAAATTTGGATAGGACGAGCTGTAGAAATTTCACTACCATCTAGATAAAGCTCTGGTCTATCAATGTAGGAAGTTTTAAGGAAAAAACTTGGAGCCGTTTTGAAGAAAACGGCGAAAATGTGATTTTAAGTAAAACTCTTATTTTTGAGGTTTACAACGACAATTAGTAAAAAAACATTTATTCGATGACTTTTTTTAAGATTTGATGATGATTTTTCGTAAGGGTCATCTGCAATGCTTGGAAATAGATATGTGAAAACTTCAAGGCAATTCATTCAATGGTAATGTTTCTAAAGCGCGATGTTTCATATGCTTCAAATCTTTTGGATCGAATTTTCAAGCGGCGTCATAACTTATTTTCTGCCCAAGACTTTCCATCCAAATTTATACACAGGCTGCAATAGTACTAGATGTTAAGATTCTGAAAATTTCAGAAAATGAGGAGAAAAAAGCCAAAAACTAAAAATAGCACTGTTTGGTTTTCGGCCGTAATAGGCTAAACCTTTAAAAAAATCTAAAATAAAATGCACTGTTATTAGAATCTAGGATAATCCAAGCAGATTATATGAAAAATCCAGGTAATTGACTCACTAGTTCTGCGAAGGGAGCGAGAATAAAATTGTCCAAAATTCGCTCTGAATTTGTTTTGTTCCACCTTAAATGAAGCATCTTTTGGTTAAACATATAACAGGTCGGAGTGGTTTTCCTCCGAATCAATAATCCAAATGAATAGACCTATCCCGAATTCGCTTGACTGACCACAAAACAATGGTTTCAAATCGAGGTTGAACTTGATGAACAAAATAATCAAGTCCAGTCTTAACTTCAAACTATTGTTTCGTGGTCAGTCAAGCGAATTCGGGATAGGTCTATTGTACAGTCATTAGAGAGTTTTAGATTGACTTTATTTCTTCCCGCAAACGGCAAACGTGACCACGTTTTCATCGTTTTCTTGTATTTTACCTAACCTTTTACAAACTTTCTCACTACATACAAACATTCTTTTGTTTTTCTACCACTTGGGTTTTTTTGCAAGTCCTTTTCAGTAATGTAAAATACTTTTTCACTGGTCAACTGACGTTTGACGCTTGCCGTGAACGTAAATCTAAAACTCTCTATTGCTATAGTAACAGCGACGCCG